TTTACATGAATCTAATAAAAACTCATTTTTCAAAAAATTTGCAAAATGGGCCCTTTTAATGTGAAAGACCCCATATACTAATTTTGTGCAATGTTTATACCTAATGTTGTCAACCCAAAAATTTCTTTTTTTTACATCATGATATAAAAAATTGTACAATATCGTACTGATATTCGGCAATTCGACTCCGTTCCGATCTTTTTTTTTTTTGGAAATTGCCTACAATAATTGTACAAACTTTTTTTTTATAGGGATAGCATAAAGAAGTTGTTATAACAAAGTTTTGTGTTATTTCAATATCAAAATTATGTCCAAAAGGCAACACTGTTACGTACGTACATATGTATGCACATGGTAAAAATCGAATTTACCTTCTTACCCAAAACCGTGTCACAAGCAATCGACAGAAATGCAAAATTTCATAAATTTTAGAAATTTAAAAAACTGAAAATTTAGAGTTTGGCAAATTTTGAAAATCTGAAAATTCAAACATATGAAAAATAATGTACCTATATGAATACATGATATTTACCCAAATAAAGCATAACTCGATTACTCGAAGTCATGATAAGTGTTTGGCTCTAATAATCTTCTCAATTAGCGTTAGTAAAAGTTTAATTATGTAATCTTTGACTTCATCATTAAAGAGAATCATGGAGCAATCTAGAGCTCTAATCGACCCTAGTTACTCAAACAAACAAAGTCTTCCCACGCCTCTATCAAAGTCTTTCATTATTAGGGATAGAGTTTCAGTGCAATATCTATAATGTTATATTTGTGTTATTATTCCGACCCATATCTACTCCGGAAGCCATTATCACCTTCAACGTTTAAAATTCATAATAATATCACGTGAACATTGATATTATATTTTCTATAAACGGGTATGTACGTACGTACGCACCCGGTCAATCTACAGTCAATCTGCATCATGGGTTCCATCATTATACAGTTATAATGCTAAATTAGAACTATGACATAGAAATAAAATAAGGGATGCATTTAACATAAATATATAGATATGCGACCGCCATTCGACACATTCACTATTAAAGACTTCATCATGCATGAGAAAATGAAACCTAGATTGTTTAGTTTAAGATGTACCCCTAATCCACTTCTCAGACAACCTTTCACGCGCCAAATTAAACACATTAAATAATTATAGCATGGAATGGCAATGCTAAAATAATGTAATAGGTAAAATGTGATTATCCTACACGCGTAACACTTTAAATTTTGATAAAATATTAATAAATTATTATAAATATAAAAAAAATGATATATGAGTAAATATGTTGTGCTAAAATGCAAAAGAACAACGAACAAGATCGAAACAATTAATGGCATAGAATTTTATAGAATATTTGTGTTAGTTTGGCGAATGTATTTTCTTTTTTTAGGTATTTATAGATTTTCAAGCATTTTATATAATTTTGAAATACCGTGAGTATCATGTTACTTAATTTGCTATTAAAGTCACAGATTACACAGATTACATCAGCTAACCGTCACGCATAATGCCGATAAGATCTCGATAATCTATCATCTATTCAATTTACTCAATTCGATGTTAAAAAAAAAATCAGTTAAATTTTTTGATTCGCTCCTTAGTGCCATGTTTATTTAAGGACATTCGAATTCGCTCGGACCGTTATACATATATACTAATTTAAGTATAGTATAAAAAAAGATTCATCAACTGCGCATTTAATTTATTATTATATCAACATACAGTAAATTTATGCGTACTTATAATATTTTGATTATACTTACGTACATAACGTATGTAAAATACGTCTGCATACCGATATGTACGTACGTACGTACAGTACCTACCTATGATATCTGACTGCCTCACATCACTTCCCCACACATAAAAAAAAAAAAAAACTTATTTTAAGGTAACAATAGTTCCTAAAAGAAAAAAACCCTGCCTATCGATTAACGTGATAAAGACTTTGACAATATAAAAGGATCAGATCACCTCTGACGCATAGATGCAAGTGGTTAATCAGTTACGATAATACTACACGAACTTCCATTATTTTAAATATACTACGTTAAACTTATGAATTGGCGTAAAAAATGATATGTAAATCGTTAATATTAAGTACATAAGTACGTACCTTTATTCCTCCTTTGTTTCGGATCAGAAAGGTTAGTCATATCTTCAGGGTGTTATTATGGTAATAACTGGCATAATAAATGACACCAAGGTTATATAAAGAGTATGTGTTCCAATGCCACTTGACTTCTTTGCAATTATAAAAAGTATGTGTTCCTATGCTGTTTGACTTCTTTTTATGATTGCAACGGAATTCTTTACAATTACCATTTCTGTCGTATGATTATACTGTACATACATATATATATAAGCTGTATACGTACATACAATCATATCATTATAAATAAAAACATAATAACGATTGACGTATAACGGTAAACAAAAATGTTTAACAAAAAATCTTCAACGACTACATCTGACAAGAAAAAACCTTCAGAACGTATTAAAAAAACTCTCAAATCGATTGTAAAATCAAATGATTCTAAAAAAAATGATACTAAAAAAAATGCTACGGATACTAAAAATAAAATTTCACCTGTATTAAATAATAATAAGCAATCAGAAGCAAAATCTGATGTTAAGATTTTTGATATTGATCAAAAAATATTACCTAAACAAAATGGTTCAAATGAATCTGATGAAAAAAAAATTACCAAAGACAAACCTTTAGTTAATAAGCCTTTGGATGATTCTAAAAAATCTTTAAAGAAATCATTGAAAACTGAAGAATCTAAAAATAATTCTAATTCAATTAAACCAGAAAAAAATACTTCCATTAAAAAACGTCCTTCTGTAGCATCCATTTCATCTGTTACTTCAAATGCTGAAACTAAAAACAATATTAATGATGGTAAACGTCGCATGTCTTCAGCCGTACGTTCAGAGACATCGCGACCATCAACACCAGATATCATTAAAAAACAATCTTCAAAAATAAGTTTAAATCCTTCACGACAAATTACTCCTTCACGACCAACTACTCCTTCACGACCAGCTACTCCTTCGCGACCAGCTACTCCTTCACGACCAACTATACCTTCACGACCAGCTATACCTTCACGACCAACTACTCCAGACCCTACAAGACGCCCCTCTAGTCGTTTAACAACACATGAAAATTCAATCACTTTGACTCCAGACGCTACAAGACGAGTATCTTCTCGTTCTACATCGTCCGAACTCTCCAAAACTGCCAAAAGACCAACATCAATGATATCAAATTCAAGACCTGCATCACCAGAACTCACAAAAACTACTAAAAGGCCTACCTCCGTTATATCTCAGCCAGCAATACCTGAGATTAAAGTGAAACAAAGCCGTTCGACGCAACAACATGATTCTTCAAATATCATTACTAAATCAAAACAATTATCTCAACAAACACCATCAACGTCAACGTCAACGTCAACGTCAACGTCAATGTCAGGAGTAGCTAAGAAACAAAGTGTTTCTGTCTTGTCAACAAAGTCTTCAAGACCAACCTCACCAGAAATTACCAAATTACTTGAACCTCCATTAATACCAGAAACGGTCAGAAAACCGAATACCTCATCTAAACCTTCAAGACCATCCACTCCCGAAGTGACAAAACCATCAACGATGGAGACCATAAGAAAACGTAGTGTTTCAAGTGTTTCAAGACCATCCACTCCCGAAGTAACAAAACCATCAACGATTGAAACTATAAGAAAACGCAGCGTTTCAAGTGTTTCAAGACCATCCACTCCCGAAATAACAAAACCCTCAACGATTGAGACTATAAGAAAACGTAGTGTTTCAAGTGTTCCAAGACTATCCACACCATTCAATCTTGAT